TAAAAGGAGTTTCAAAAGAAGAGGTGAGACATTGAAGTTTTGATCTTTTAACAGCAGTAGTACCCTCATGAATAGTTTCAAAAATATCCCAAGCCTCTTTTATTACCTCACATGTACAAATACAATGAAACTCTTCTGATGGAATGGACCAAAAGAGAAAATTGAGTGCTTTACTGTTCCAACTCAAGTTTTGATAATCAATTGCATCCAAGGTTCTAAAAAGTGGTTGCGGTCGTCGTAACGGTGGCAGTGGTGCGGTTGCGGTTGCGGGGTGTAAAGGCTGTAGCGTAACGGTTACGGTAATCGAAACTATGAATTTTTTTATTTTTCGCATAATTTGAAAAAAACTTACCGATACGTATATTTTTTTTTTCCATGATCAGATTTATTGGGTTTAAAATAAATATTGATCAATTTTTATAAATTTTTAAGTATGATTCAATATATTTTCATATTTTTAAATCACTATAAATTGAGTTTTTTACATTTTATTTTAATAATTAATGACTTTATATTATATAAAAAATCAATCACTAACTATTATATATAAGATAAACAATGACAAAAGTAAAAGAATAAATAAGAGCCTAAATATATATATATATATATATATATACATTTTAACCAAGCCAAATAGATAATGCCCACACTTATTATTATTATTATTGTTGTTGTTGTTGTTATTTTTTTTTAAAACAATATATAGATAGACACACACAAACATAATGGTTGAGTGATGGCAGCTGAATAGAATAGCATAGGTCTTACAGTTTCAACAAATCAATAACATGTTCATCTTCCCTCTTCTCTCTCTATCTCTTTCTCCTCCATCTTCTCTCTTTATCTTCCCTCTTCTTTCTATCCCTCTTCCTCTATTTTTAGCTTTTTTTTTTGTGTTTTTTTCGAAAGAAGCAGTTCGGAACCGTTACGTAACGGTGCGTAACAAGATGTTATAGCTATTACGGCATCGTTACAATCGTTGCGGCAGTCGCTACGACCAACACACTTGTAAATCTCAATCAAACTGCAAAAGCAGCCGTAACAGGTGGTGGTAACCACCACAACCGTTACGTAACAGCGTTACGTAACTGTTGGTGCGGCCACTTTTTAAAACCTTGATTGCATCCCGTTTATCAAGAGGTTTAGGGATATCAACACCATCGATGGTGACAACAGGTTCACTTCACCCATAGATGACGCAGTGCCAAACTTTTCATCAATAGGTTTTAAAAATGCCTTCATACGAGCTTTCCAATAAGAATAGTTTGTTCCATCAAGTAACGGAGGTCTATGGGTCGAGTTACTTTCATAAATTGAATCCATGACATGAATCACACGAAATCACACTCATATAGTTTTATTAAAAATAAAGAGTGACCTGTTTTGATACTAATTGAAAAACCTACATGATTTGTGATTCGTAATAGATTTAATTGCACCAATTCTCGAACAATGAAAATGAACAATCTAAATCATCAAGCACGTATGAAAGTGATTTAGATTGTTGTTTCGCAATTAATAAATCGACACAAACAATTTTTACATGGAAAAAATCACAGTTGGAGTACCTCCACTTGTGATATAAAATTACAGGCGAAACGTCACTAATCAATCCACTATGAAGAAAAAAAGAACACAAATTTACCAAACAATTTACCCATAAAATCGTCTTCAACAATCCGTGTCTCTTTCACCAACGCTTTGTCTCGGAATTGATCAACTTGATGTCGAATCCACAACATCTATGTCAAATCCACGACTACGAGTAGCTTCAAACTCCTTCAAAGTTTTCACGCTCGAATCTTCGGATTCCACCAAAGAAGAACACTTTGTATTGAAAGGTCACCCACAAAACCCTTTGATATAAACCATTCAATTCATAGTCTAACCTCTCATAGATATTAAAGGAAACAAGCAAAGAACTTCTAGAAGAAAACCCTAAAACCTGAAAAGAAGATCTAGAAGTCATACCCTCAAAATTGACTTGATCGCAGCTTCATAGCAGTCAAATTCGCAATCACCGCTCGAGCGCAGGAATGGCCGCTTGAGCAGTGTGACTTAAACGCGTGTTTCTAAACAAGGGTCTTCGCTCGAGCGGTGAAAGTTGCATTCAAGCGTAAAATCTCAACTCCTAGTACTTTTGCAGACGATTAAAACTTTTGAGAGTATAGCTTCTCCGCTTCAGCGCAACTTTCACCGCTCGAGAGATCAAGCCAAAACACTATAAAAATTTCAACCTTAAAACCAATGTTTGTTTGCGGAATTGGCAACACGTAGGGACCTAATAGAGTTTATTTCATGCTCGTATCGACGAGGCATGGGGGTTTATTAGGTGTCATTCCATGCTTGTATCGACAAGACATGGTGGTTTATTGGGTGCCATTTTATGCTCGTATTGATGAGACATGGGGATTATTGATTGCCATTCCATGCTTGAATCAACAAGGCATGGGGATTTACTGAGTGTCATTCCATGCTCGTATCGATGAGGCATGGGGGGTTTACATTTGTGTCCTAAGTGGTTCCAAGTCTTTTCAAAATTTTCCAAGATTTGCCAAGTGCCAATTTTTAAAACTTTCCTAAATGCAGTTTCCAAAGTTTTCAATTTTTTAGATTTTGAGTTAGCATGGTGGGAATTCTAACCATACAATTTTCCAGTGTCAAGTGTGATTTTGAAAATATTTTTTCTTTCCAATTAACAACCCAGTTGGGGGGAAGTTAAGGGTTCACTTTCTGTGTGGGTGCCAACTGATTTGTGTGTTAGTGTTGTGTGATGCCAATAGATGATTGAATTCCCAATTAACATGATGTGTCTCGAAAGATGTGCCAATACTTGAGCTTGAGTTTAGGATGGGAGCTTCTATTTGCACACACTATATCCTCTTTTCTCACACACTTAATGAGAGAGTATGTTTGAGAGTTGTGTGTGGAGGATGTGTATAGAGAGAGGTGTGTGTGTGTAAATAGATGCTCCCATTTAGGATGTACCTGTGCCTTGAGGATGTCCAAAAGGTGCCATAGGTTGACCATATGTACGAGGCATGTGGGCCATACGTGTAGCAACATAGGATGTGTGCATGTATATTAGGCCGATATGCGCACGCACAATTGGCTAGCGTGAACGAACTTGCCATGACCCGAAGGGTTTAAATTGCCTTCCAAGCTTCATTTCCCTCACTACCACTTTCAAAACCCCCTCTTTTTCCTCCCTAGCTCCTTTCTATTTGACCTCGATGCCCTCTCATCGTCTGATGGTTCAGTGTTCCATTCTACTGTTCAGATTCCTTGCTTTACAACCTCCGTTTTTACCAAATGGTTTCCAATTTCAACCACTTCTCGATATTCTCAAGTATTCCAACTATTTCTTTTACTTTCCCGGCTTTTCTTCCATTGTTGCATGCTGTTATGACTTTCTGCGAGCTTTTCGGTGACTTTTCAACTATTTCCATGAATGCCTAGGGTTTTTCCTTGAATGTTTGTGAATATTTTTCCCATGCATGTTATTCTATTATCATCATTGTCCCATATTGCCCAAAAACACCCATGCATTTTGAATTTTCAACCCATTTTTTGTACTTTTTTACTATGGTCACCATCTTTCACATCATTTCTCACTATTTGGCCATTGTGTTGCTTGTGACAGACTCATTGATGGCTGGGCAATTTCTTCCTTTTGATCCTGCCAGTTATGTGCCTCTTGCCCATGCTATGCGGGTCGGGATGGAGCGATTTCACCCTCTTGCTTCCAAGTTGGCCAACAACAACACTGTCACCCTCGCTTTTGATCTCAAGAACTTCATTAGACCTGAAAGTGGACCAACCTGAAACCTTGGATGCTCCTCTGACCACCACAAGATCATACAATCCAATCAGGTGCGAGATTAATCAAACTCAATTTCCCCCTTCCATATACTATATCTATCTATCTATACATACATTTTAAGTCAAACTCGATGTGCCATCTTTACAAACCAAAAACCTGAGCTTAACTAACATTTTGTTTTTTGTGATGAATGAAATCACTAAATAAAAACATACAAATAACAAGACAACATGCGTAAGCAAAAAATCAAGAAGATATTGCATACAAAATCTAAAAATTTTGGTTGCGCGTTGTAGGTGGTGGTGACACTGACACACCCTAGTGGGACAAGGTGGAATCCGACACAAGAACAAATAGGGATACTAGAAATGCTTTATAGGGGTGGAATGCGGACTCCAAATGCACAACAAATATAACAAATCACAGCCTAACTTGGAAAATATGGAAAGATTGAAGGAAAAAATGTGTTTTACTGGTTCCAAAACCACAAGGTCCGCGAGAAACAGAAGCAAAAGCACAGCAATCTTGGCCTTAGCCAATGTCCTAGGACTCCATCCACCATCACCACCACCACCATAACCACTCCAAGGAAAAGGAGATATTGCAACGTTTTTTTTTATGGCGTTTTATGCAACGCCGTTAATTGTCAACCAACCACAACGTTTCAAAAAGCGCTGTCTTAGAACTCAATTTCACCGTCAATCCAATTAAACGTTGAAGAGGGTTAAGAGATGCAACATCGCTTTCTCTCTCTCGCGAATTTTCTCTCCTTGCTCTCTCCACTGATCTCTCTCTCTCTCTCTCTCCTTGCTCTCACGAATTCACTCTCTCTTGCTCTCTGCACTGAAAGCTGTTGATGAAGATTTGCGTTTGAAGTCTCTCTCCTTGCGTTTGAAGGTTGATTATACCATATTTGCTAAATACAGTCCCTAATATTTGGATTCCACATTATGTAGCTGGGTTCTAGTATCTTGGTCTGATGCATGAAAAAAGACAAGATGCATAAACTACATGCTGATTTGGGTCAAATTTGTTTATTTCATTTCATTGATAAGATGGAAATGGTTCTGGAACTTATTGTTATCTAATATTTTCTTGATAACCAATGCAGATACCTTTTGCTACTAGTTCTTTCTGTTTCTCATTATGCTTCAGCCTTTGCGGAGCTGACTTGTTTTTCAATCTGAATTTCAAGAATCATGCAGGGCGTGGGAAAAGCTTACAATGAGTTGAAACAAGGAGAGCCAACAATTGAATGCTTTTTTGATTTGACCAGGTTCCAATCCAAGGTAAATTTTTGGTTTAATCAACTTTGGTTATTTTCAGTTTCTAAGAAATATGGTTAGGCATAGGCATTCTCTTGAATATAGACGGCCGATAAATGAAAAATAAAAACAGGGCAATGAAGTGTAAACCTTAGGTATTGGGGACATCAAAGTCATTCCTCAGATGACTTTGCTAATTTTCAGTTCCTAAGAAATATGGTTAGGCATTCCCCTTGAATAGACATGTCGATAAATGAAAAATACAAACAGGGCAATAAATGTAAACCTTAGGTATTAGGGACATCAAAGGCATTCCAATGGTGTGAATGTTTACTGGTGTGAATGTTTTTGACCTATTGCAACAAAAGACTTTTGGAATTCATGGTACCTTTTCATTGATCCAGATCTTTCTTTATGATTGAGCCTGGGATTTAAAATTTTCATTGATCTTTCTTAGAAAGTGGAACTTGTTAGTTTATTGCTGTTGTTATCTTCAGAATTTGAATGTGTGTTGTTAGCTTGTTTAAATTTATTTATTTATTTTTTTTCGTAGATTTTTAGGGTATGCTCCAGTTTATACCCAGATTAACACATTTTATTAGTTTTCTTGTATTCTAGGCACTAGCATTTTTTTTTTAAAAATTTCTGGCTATGTTGTATCAAAGTCAGTGCATTTACATTTTATAGTCATCTAATTCGAACAACTAGTATGCATTCATTTGCTCTTTTTACATTTTAGAAATGCAGGTGTCTCTATTGCTACTTTCCATTTTTATCCTTTCTAACGCGGCTGCTTTTTCCTCTTCTACAGTAAGCTTCAGAGTGATGCCTTGAGGGAAGCCATTACCAAAGTCCTCCTCCGCTACTCATCAGCTCTTGTTCAAGGTGCTGCAAATGTCTTCTGGTACGGATATTTGCATTTGCATGTTAAAAATAGCCATTATCTGGTAAATATTTGATGCTGTAAGTCATTGTTGGGCATATATTCAAACTGTAATCCACTGCTATCATTTTATCAACGCATGTTCGTTTCTCTGTTTGACTAAACTAAATCTCATAGGCAAGAATATAAATTTGGTAGCATCAACCATTTAAGTTGGATTGTTGTAGGATTCCAAAATTATAACCTAAAACTACTCTCTTATTTTCTCCATTTTCTTAGATCAAATGAAGCATTCCTACTGTTTTTAAAGCTATCATTTTCATTATGGAGGGTTATTATCTTGAGTCTCTTGACCATTAAATGAAAAGAAAATAATTGAAGGCAACTTTTCATCTAACGTGGAATGTTTCCCACTGGTTTAATAAGAGCATTATTTCTTAAGGATTATGCTAAGGTCACCTTTTAGTTTATGACGTTTCTCTCTATCTTTGTGAGAATTTGAGCTATTTATCTTTGTCAATTTTGGTCCTGTTACTGTTTTCCCAAGAAATGATTTCAAATGCATTGGCATTGTTGTTCTTGTTCATTTATGGCCTTCGTTTACCAGCTTGAAACTGGCTCAAGATGGCCTTCCCATTTTATAGGATTTTGTTTACTCCATTTTATATGGTTAGTGATTCAAACAAATGAGTGGTGGGAGAGAGGTGGATCTGTGAAACGGGGAACAGGGTGCCTAGCTACTCTGGACTGTCGGAACAAAAGGGCTTTACTCATTAGTACAGTGGAACTCTAGATTTTTAGAGGGTGGGAATGTGGAGGTTCACATTGGTCAGACACCTTTACCCGTGCAATATTTTACCCTTAATTTCATTGTTGGTAAGATACTGGATTGTCTATGTTCTATCCAGTGCAAAACCGACAGACAGTCCAGCTTAGTTAAACGATGGTGCACCGCCCTTGTCCTTGACTGTTTCCTTCCCTTTATCCCTATTATCATCTGCAGGGACTATCTCTTATAATAAGTTTTTTGCAAAAACAAAAACTTTAAAAAATGGAAAATGAAAAAGAAGACAGAAATTGCTATTCTATAACATTAAACATATATATGCAGGATTGACATCCAAACAAACACAAGGCGTTTCCAATCTCTCTTCCGGGTACAATTCCTTTTTAGGATATGATAGTCTCTCCCCGACTATTTTATATTGTATGAAAGATGTGAAGATGCTGTTCTTCTTCTCTGATCCCCTTCCCTTGATTGATTCAGTATCTTCTGGAGGAAGTTGCTTTGGTGCCTGAGCAATTAAAGAAAATTCCCCTGCAGGTCAGGCATTGCTCATATATTTTTCACATGCTATCTTGTGTAGTGATGCCTTGATGGAAGCCATTACCAAAGTCTCTCTATGTACTCATGTATATATGTATGCTTATAATTGTTTGTATTTTAGTATCTGTGATTATGGCACTGATGGTGTGTTTCTATTGACAAGTTGCAGTTAAATTGGCTCAATGTTCAATTTGAAAAATGTCTCTTGTTTCAAGCATTTGACCTCTGCGAGAAGTTGGTGCTACATTCTAACATTCTCTTCTTCTGTGTTTCTCATGGCATATCTGCCTAGCCTTGCTCTTTCCCCTGGCATCAACCACAGCCACATCCCCCTCTGGCACCATCTCCTTCTCTGCCTACCCCAACCCTCACCACCAAACACTATCACCTCTTTCCACTTCATTGTCTATTCCCAACAGCCGAACACCACCACCAACCGCTGTTCCAACACTACCACCACAAAAACAACCCACCACCAAAGCATCTATCAACAACACCACAATCTAATCACCACCAACATTAAACTCAGTAGCTAGTATTACGGATGAATTAACCAAAATTCTTCTAGTGATGATTAGAGTCGATTACTTGATATTTTAATACCTCGGTACTTTTCATTTTTTACACTACTCTTTAGTTCTTCTCAATCAAACTCGAAGAACAACTGACAAGCAAGTATTAAAGCAACTCAGACCTTTGATTGTTAATAGAGAGGTCATAATAATGTTGTCTGAAAGGAAGAGAGAGGGAAGATGCATAGGGCGGTACTGTTGGGAAGTTGGGGGTGGGTTCGGTGGTGGAGTGAGTTTAATGGTGATCCTGTGGATGGAGATCTCCATTCATGTTCTGGGTTTGTATTGAAATAGTGTTAATATATATTGTGAAGCTATAGAGAAAGAAGGATGGGTCGGATTGGCATTGGGAACAAGAAAGAGATACTACCAACTGGCTGAGGTGGCACACCGTAATTGGGAACAGGAAAAAGTTAATTCCTTTTAGATTTATTCATCCACGATAATGTAATAAGAGAATTGGATTTTATATTAGAGAAAGTTATTAAAAAGTCCAACCGAAACAGGATATAAGTCATTAGGTCTAATAGATATTTTTTTGTTGATGGTAGATTCTCCCTTGTGAAATAGTTTGGTGAAAAATCCTTTTGTTTGTTTTAAAGGATATTTAGTTTCTAATTTTATTCTATTTTTTCTATCGGTTCAAAACAAATCTGTCTTATCTCCCAATTTTATTTTTTATTTTTTATTTGTTGCAATCTATTTCTTCATCATCATCATTTTTTTCTATCTATTCAAAATAGATCTATCTTTGTGTTCGAATAACTTACCACTGTGCTGCTTCAATGCCCTTTGTGTTCGAAGAGGAATTTCAAAATAATTGTAGTCAAGTAGTCAGTGTAAGGCAATATGGCCATCTACAATAAGTACCATCGAACTAATTTCTGATGGATTGTTGAATCGTTTGGGACGTAGAGGGATTTTATAAAATGTAACCTCATGAGTGAAGCAATCTTTACGTCATGTACAAATAATCGTTTGGAATGCCATGCCACCTGCTTCAATGGCAACACTCACGGGTTGATTTGCCACTGCCTTTTGCAATGCCTTCTCGTTGTTTTCAGGAACATCTTCATAATCATCAATTCTAACAACCTTTGTATTTTTCTGTATAAACAATAATTCATTCACAAAGAATGATATGAAGTCTTGGTTTTTTTCACCATGTACATTTTTCTTGATCACTCAATTAAAGAACTTGATTCAAACCCTGTATTGGTCGCATGTCCCATCTCTAGCTTTATAGGGGTAATCTTCCTCGCTATCAATACCACCATTGTTGATGATGAACTCAAAAGCATAGTCCATGAGACCCCCATCGCATCCTTCGTTATAAGATTTATCACAGTCCACTAGCTCTGGTTCTGATAGCGAGATCAAATCGCCAGTCACAATCTTGTTAATCCCTTCCACAGCAATTGTTGAAAATGCCCAGTAACTCCCTTCATTTCCAATCAATCAATACACATTATTAAATCACAACACAATGCTTACGGAAATATGAATTAAGTCCACAAAAACTTTGGTTGAATCTTTTTTGTCTTTCCGTCCTCTCTCTCTCTCTCTCTCTCTTTTGTTTTTTGTTCCTTCCCACAAAGAGTTGAGGGCTTCGTAATTAGATTATACTTTGAACAGGTTGATGTTAATTCCATAAAATGAAGTATTAGTTTCAAGCCATTGACTCTCAAGATGGAATCTTTCCCTTGTAATCTACATCCTTCTTAGCATGGAACCTGAGAAGACAATTTTCAAAAATAAGTTTTCAGTTAAATGAGCATTATAGCCTTTGTTATTTTTCCATTTAAAATTGCCATGAATCTTTTAATCTAAGTTGATTTAATTCAAATTCCAAGTTAATTAACCAAATATAAATGTGCAAAAAAGGAAAAATCAATCAAATCAAGAAATTACGTCAAAAAATCCAAAATTGAAAAAAATAATAATAAATAAACATGGACAGAAATACTATAATCAAGATCAAGCACAAAACTTACAAAAAAATCCAAAACGCAAATATCCTAACTACTCAACACCCAATTTCGTAATCCGATTTGCCACATCTATCCAATCTCACACTTGTACCTTTACATCCGATTTTTTATTCACCCAAAAAAAATCTTCACTAGTTACATCAACCACACGCATATAATTCTCCAAGCTTCAAATTCAATCAATGTATATGCAATACTAATAAGTCTATATGCACTAGGTTTCTTTTAAAAATATGAAAGAAGTGTATAGACTAAACTCACTCAATTTCTCCTAATGCATAATACAAACTCAACTCTGTGTTCAAATTCTGAACAAATAAGCCAAGCAGACATGTATAAAAATGAAACCTATTAAGGGAACAAGGACTCAAAAATACAAAGAATTTTGTTCAAACAATCCATCCTTTCTTTTGAACTATGAGGCCTTGTTAATCCCATGAATTAGTATAGGATTAGTTATTCAATTAAATTAGTAACATAACCATTTATTATGTATTTATTATTATATTTTTTTCATACTTGAAATTATAATCACAACCCCTCTCAATATTAAAAATAAGTTAATTTCGTCGAATTAAATATCCGCCGTACCTGTAATCTGATTAATAAAATTTGCAATCAAATATGAGATGGTGAGTCTCTCTCTCTCTCTCTCTCTCTCTCTCTCTCTCTCTAGAGTTTGTGAGATCCATCTCTTTAAAATTCTCAGCACAAAGATAATAATGAATTCAACTTCTCTTCTTCTTGTGTTATATATATAAATAGAATTAGTTTAGGTTAATTAAGCACTAATTAATCAAATCTTATGGCTAATTAATCATAAAAATGCCTAATTTGATCATTCCTAATTTTATTTGAATCCATCTAACCTTAATTCTATTCCCTTTTAATTTTAATCAAATCCTATTAGGCTGTACACAATAAGTTGATTCAAATTATAGTCTTCTGACAAATAATACACACACGAATTTCATATAATTAAATTAAAAATCCCTACCATTAAATGAATGCAAAATGATATTCATGGTGTGGTTATCACAGTGTGACTCGAACGTAAGATCACAAATTTGATAAACAAGGCTCTTATCATTTGAGTTGCATACAGCATATAGCAAATATTTTGTTTATTTATTTATGGGGATTTGGTGATAGACCCTTCAATGTCTAACTTGTCCTTCAAAAGGATAAGAATTATATAGATCCTTTCAAAATCCCCTACTATTTTAAAACTTGTTTCTTTTACTATAATACCCTCATACATATACATATATGTGTGTGTGTATCAGATTGCAATCACGCTCTCTTATCTCAATCTCTCCTCTCTATCTTGCTCTTATCATTGTTGCTCTCCATCAACGCTATCATTGCTCTCCGTCGGCGCCACCGCCGCTCACTATAAAACTCTTTCTCTACCGTCTTCATCACCACCTCCACTCGTCACATCCACAATCTCACAATCTCAGATCTAAGATCATTCATAGTTGTCGGAAATGATAGTTCCTGACGGTTCGCAAACCTGAGAGCTGAGATCCTTCACTCTCTTTCTCTGGTTCGGATGGTTCATGCTCTCTCTCTTTCTCTCTCTCTCTCTGTCTTTCTTCTTCTTCTTCTTCTTCTAGAAAGGATGTAAACAAGATAATAAACAACTACCAACATCCACGGACACATGTCCGGATCACTATACAACAAGGGTAAACCCGGGATCGCTATAGGACCACTTAAGAGTGACCTCTGTAGTATCGGTTTAGAGTCTAATCGGAAAGGTTACTCCTGTGGTTAACATTTTTTCTTTTAGAAATGCCTAGAATTTTTATTTTTATTTTTTATTTTTATTTTTAGCAAATTATACCGACAATCCTTATATCTTGGCCCTTGTGTTGTTTTAATTTTTGTAATGTTAATTCGCTCGATTTTGATTTTCAATTTATGATTTTATCTCAATTTAGTCTAATTCATTACCATTGCTAGTTTTTTTTTTGTTTTTTGTTTTTTTTTTATATATATGAGAAATGCGTAGGTAAGCGTAATATGTTATGTTCTTATAGACAAAATTAGAAACCTATTTAACTCGTTGAATTAATCTCAATTAATTCAGTGATCATTTCTCTTAAAAACCCTAATGGGCATTATCAATTGAATTAAATTGAAATAAAATTAAAAATTAAAGATCAAAATTAAGTTAATTAAAATTAGAGAGATTAAAATAACATGAATGACAAGATACGGGGACTACCAATATAGTTTATTTATTTATTTTGATTAGTTGCATTCAAATTTTTCTGGGTGGAACTATTGTGACATGAATCGGTAATGGCGCCACATGCGAATGAGTGGGAATAAAAAGTTCTCGAATTTTCGTTAAGAAATCATTTTTAAAAAAATACAGGAAATTATAAAAATAAAATAAAATTTAACCTTTATAATTTTGTCAACTTAAACTCTAATTAAATTACATAATCTGAATATTCAGTGCCTAGAGGGGCTGAATAGGCCAATAAATTAAAATTATCAATTTTAAGTTCAAATAAGTTGATTAAACAAATTAAATCAAGTAAAAAAAATCAACACATGAACACAAGATTTTACATGAAAAACCCAATTGGGTAAAAAATCACGATCCCAACACTTAGAGAAAATCCACTATGATCAAAGAATACAAATACAAAGTCGAGATTACTTATAACCTTTACCTAGGTTTACCTAATATGATATTTTGTAATAATTCCTACGAGCACAACTTGCCCCAGTCAGCCTTCTTGATCTTCAGGATTCCACGAAATTTCAGCTACAATCTCTGTTCACGAACGGCTCCGATCACCTAATTTGCCAAAAGTCTAGAACAAACAATGTAAGAATGTGAAGTATTTTATGAATTTATCAAATTCAACTCTCTAAAG